TTTAAAAAAAGAGCTTATGCAAATGGGTATGAAACAATTATAAACACTAGTGGATAAAAGAGACCAAAACATGAACTGGCCACCTCTAATTAAAGAACACAGCAGCAAAGCTAAGTAGCAAAATACCCAGGCTTTGAGAGCAAATGAGCTGGGTTAAAATCGCAGCCACACTAACTACCAGCCACTGTGATGACCAGTCCAACCTTCTGGAGATGACTTTAAAATACACACACCCTTTCATGGGCAATTTGCTTTCTAACAATCTATCTTAAGATATTCACTCTATGGAAAAAGCATTAGGCAAGAACCTGCACATTATTTATGAAAGCAAATAACTCTGTTCAAACAAAATGTCAAATTACTAGAGAATAATCAACTAAACTAATGTCAGCCCACTCACTGGAATATAGAGAGCCATGAAAATATTTCCTCAGGTGACTTCCTAATATGAAATGTTTCTCATAATATTAAGAGAAAATTATGACATAAAGTTGTACACAATATGATTACAATTATGCTTTTTAAATGTATACACATAGGAAAAAGATAAAAGGAATATGTTGACATGTTAAAGTGACAGAACCATGAGAGATACATTTTTCCACTGTTCTACGTTTTCAAAATATTTTAAACAAGAAATATTGCTTTTATAATAAATGTAAAAAAGATTCAGTGTCATATGCCAGCAGCTAAAAATCAAATGGGAATTTTTACTAGACAGATTAGGGTCATAAATAATGACAGGAAAAATTCAGAAGCTACTAGTGGGCCAGGTAAGGTGACCCACACCTGTAATCCCAGTGCTTTGGGAGGCTGATGTGAGGGAGTCACTTGAGGCTAGGAGTTTGAGACCAGCCTGGACAACGTAGCAAGATCCTATCCCTGTAAAAATGTTTTAATTAGCTGGGCATGGCAGCACCTGCCTGTAGTCCCAGCTGTTTGAGAGGCTGAGGTAGGAGGATCTCTTTAGCCCATGAGTTTGAGGCTACAGAGGGCCATGATCACATCACTGCACTCCAGCCTGGGCAACGGCGCAAAACCCTGTCTCTAAAAAATGAGAGAGAAGCTACCAATGGAGAAAATACAATGTGCAAATAAAAAAGTACAAATATCTCAAAACACTGCCCTTCTTTCATTACTAAAATACAAGTGAGTCACTTGCCCTTTTAAATACTCTATCGATGTTGTCAAACTTTTTTGCCTCTTCCGGGAGTTGTGATCTTATATCTCCACCAATAAAAATACTTTCAAGATACATCCATTTTCTCTGAACCAACATCCAAATCTGTAAAAGTACAAAAGGTCAGTGTCAGCAGGGGTTATCAGATACCTCCAGGAGTGGATGGCAAAGCCCCACCCTGACACGGGACAGACCCAAATCAACCCCGGTGGAAGGACCTTCCAGGCAAGGTGACAGAGTGAGCATGTGCATGCCCAGCTCCCCTCCACTCCAATGAAGGTGAATGCCGAGGAAAGCATAACTAAGGCCACACTCTAAAGCAAAAGAAAGCTCTCCATGCAGCCCAGCACAGGTAGGAAAATGTCTAGTTATGAGAAGGCGGTGAAGCCTGTGACCCACAACAACTAAGGACAGGCCATGCCAAAGCCATGCAAAAAGTGAGCCAAGTACCAAGTGCCCAGCAAGTCCTCTCCTAGGTATTGACTCAAAAGAATTGAAAACAGGGACTCAAGTAGTTGTACATGAATGCTGACAGCAGCACTGTTCACAATAGTCAAAAGGTGAAAACAACCCAAATGTCTATCAGCCAATGAACAGAAAAACAACATGTGATCAATCCACATGATTTAATATTATTGGGCCATAAAAAGGATGGAAGCACTGACACATGCTAAAACGGATGAACCTGGAAAACATCATGCTAACTGACAAAAGTCAGACATAAAGAATCATATATCGTGTCATTCCACTTATATGAAATACCCAAAATAGGTAAATCCATTGACACAGAAAACAGACTGGAGGTTGCCAGATGCTGGGGTGAGGAGATGGGTAGGGAGCGACTGCTTAAGGGGTACTGGCTTTTCTTTTGGTTTGACGAAAATCTGGAACTAGAGGTGGTGGCTGCACAACACTGTGAATGTACTAAATGTCACTGAATTGTGCACTTTACAATAGCTAGTTTTATGTTATGTAAATTTCACCTCAATAAAAAAAATTTTTTGACTGAACATGGTGGCTCATGCCTGTAATTCCAACACTTTGGGAGCCCAAGGTGGGCAGGTCACTTGAGGTCAGGATTTCAAGACCAGCCTCGCCAACATGGTGAAACCTCATCTCTACTAAAAATACAAAAATTAGCCAGGCATAGTGGCACGTGCCTGTAATCCCAACTAGGCAGGAGAATCACTTAAACTCGGCTGGCAGAGGTTGCAGTGAGCTGAGATGGCACCACTGCACTCCAACCTGGGCAACAGAGCAAGACTGCATCTTAAAAAAAATTGTTTTTAACTCACAAATTAAAAAACAGTGCTATATCCCACATAAGAGCTTCCACTAACACAAAGTCATAGACAAAACAAACAAATGAACAAAAAAGCAAGGCAAGGAAGCCCAGGCATGATGGAGGCCTGATCACATACTTGGCCGGTGAACCAGACCTGGCTTCATCCCACCCAAAGCTTGGATTATGGCCAAAAACAAGGTGCTTGCCTGTGGTCTGGGAGGAAAAAAAAGGCAGCTGCACAAAAATGGTGCAGTGAGCCTGGGTTGCTCACAGAGGTCTGGACAAGTGTTGCCCAAAAGGAAGAAAGCCCCAAATCACCTACTATAAGACCTTGCTACTTCCCAGTGTGACAGGCCCCAGGTTAAAGAGGCTGCAAAAACAGATGACAAAGTGAAGCAAACACAAGAAAAAAAAATACATGTGAGATGAGCTAGAAAAAAAAATCAAAATCACACAGAGGAAAACCCACCACCATAAGAGAGAGTCAACAGGCATTTAAAAAAATAGTGTAGAGAAATCTGAAAAGGAACGTAAAATAAATGTTTCTAATTTTCAGCGTCATCAAGGAGGCAAAAGCATCCTTGCAACAAGAACAAGACAGTATCAAAGAAAAACAGATATATACAAAAAAGAAGCAATTAGGAATCTTGGAAATGAAAATCATTCACTAAAATAAAAACTTAGATCAATTCCTTTGATCATGCGCTCTTGCCCTCAAAATAAATCAAGACAAAAGGCATGAAAGAGGATCATTTGTTTCTAAGCACAAAATATCCTCATATAAAAGTTCTAAGCACAAAATATCCTCCTATAAAAGCCACTGCTATGCACTGGCTCTAATCCATCTTTTGTTCATCTTTTCTCTCACCTCAATGACTTCTCCTATTAGAGAAAGCGTTTTTTCCCATTTGTGAACAGTTTGCAGGAAAGGCCCCACAAATCTGCTTCCTGAGATGCTCTGCAGGTTGAAAGTGTTGTCATCAAGAGACTGAATAATTTCGTCAACAGAACCCAGGATGTAGCCTCGCTCCTGTGTGCCTTTGTAATACTTGACTACAGTGAATTTCATATTTTCCCACGTGTCTAGGATTTCCTTCACAGCCTGTTCAGGAATAGAAAAAGAATGATTCAGGTACACGAACTGAAAAGACCAAGCCCCAACCCAAAAACACCTGCCTTAGCTTGCTTTTGGCCAACAACGCAATTGGAGTCCTGGGTCTGTTTCCTGAAAAGTTGGGATTCTGTCATGGTAATAATAGTCACTTATCAAGCATTTGCTATGTGGCAGGTAAGCATGTCACATACATGATCTCATTCAGTCTTCAAAGCAAATACCTCAAATTATATTGGGATTATTATCACCCACATTTTACAGAGATGGCAACTGGGACTCAGACATGAGGCTTAGCTACTGAGCCCCAGAAACAGGATCTAAACTCCACAGTCTGCCCCCGAAGCCTGCACAGTTATGAGATCCTGCCCCTGTGCTTACTCTACTGTCACAAAAAACAAATTACAAAATGATATGTCTCTTATGATTCCATATTCAAAACAATCTGTATCGAGGCAGGGGGTGGTGGCTCATGCCTGTAATCCTAACACTTTAGGAAGTCAAGGTGAGCAGATTGCTTGAGCCCAGGAGTTCATGACCAGCCTTGGCAACATAGGGAGACCGTCTCAAAAAAAAATCTGTATTGATACATACGTATATGTATACATATGTACGTGTATACATTATATGTATCTTATGTGTATGTTTGGTATATTGTGTACACTGTGTGAATATGTATACATGTGTGTATATTGTGTGTACATGTGTATATTAGGTACATTATACATTGTGTGTATATGTATATGTGTGTACATTATATGTACGTGTGCATATTAGGTACACTGTGTGTACATTGTGTGTACAAGAGTACATAGTGTACATTATGTGTACATGTATATATTAGGTACACTGTGTGTACATTATGTGCATACATACACATGTATATACATTATGTGTATATGTTAGGTATGCTGTGTGCACACTGTATGTATATTTTGTGTGTTTCCATGCATATGTATCTATATGTATATACATGTGCATATATACATGTGTGGTATACTATGTACAGTCATGCACTGCATTAAGGACGTTTCAGCCAGTGATGAATCTCATCTACAATGGTGGTCCCATAGGATTATTAGACCATATTTTGGCTGTACCTTTTATATGTTTAGATACACATGTACTACTAGGTTACAATGGCTGACAGTACTCAATATAGTCACTTGCTGTATAGGCTTGCAGTCTAGAGCAATAGGCTCTACCCAACAGCCTAGGTGTGCAGTAGTCATCCCAGCTAGGTTTGTTTGCACAAACACGAATCAACTCAGGAGACATTTCTCAGAATGTGTCCCCGCCATTAGGTGACACACAACTGTATACATGTATGTGCATGTATGTGTAGGGGTATGTGTATGTGTGTACCTGTGTATGTGTATGTTTGTGCACACAAATGCATGGGCATATATGCACATATATGAGTAGTATGTGTGTATGCATATGTATACGTGTGTGTATGCATTTTTAAGTAGGGAAAGAAATACCCTAAAAAGTTAATAATTATTTTCAGGTGGTGGGATTATGAATTTTTTTCAATTTTCTACCATCAACATCCATTACTTCTATTTAAAAATCAATGGCAAAATAAATAAATAAATAAATAAGAAAAATTTTTTTAAACAATGGAAAATGAAACTACAATTGGGAACAATAAAAAATTTAATTAAAACAAAAATTATATTTCTACAATAAATAATTCTTTATTACTGAAGTACAGCAGGTACTAGAGCAAATATGTTTTCTCTTTTTTGTTTGTTTTTCTTCGAGACAGAAAATGTCTCACCCTGTCACCCAGGCTGGAGTGCCATGGTGCGATCACAGGTCACTGCAGCCTCCACTTTCCAGGTTCAAGTGATCCTCCCACCTCAGCCTCCCAAGAAGTTGGGACTAAAGGCATGCCACCACGCCCAGCTAATTTGTTTTTTTTAGTAGAGATGAGGTCTCCCTGTTTTCTTTTTGAATTAAAAAAAGACTCTGTTTTCTCCAGCCTGTTTTTAACTGAAGTCTTACCTTCTCAATGGCAACCTCCTTGATTGCTGCTGTGACAATCTCATTGAGAACATCCGTGTGTTTGTGCAGTTCCATAGCAAACATATTTTCTAGGGTGAACGTTTCGGTCATTTCAAAAAAGACAGACGTTTTTTCCATAAGTTCTTTCCAATGCCTGAAAGCACATCAGCATTCAAATCTTTATGCTTACTGAGTTTAGTGAGGAGTTTGATTATTCCCATTTAAATCACAGGACAAATCTCACTTTGTAAACTTCTTATAATGAAATTCTGAAACATGGGGACATCACTGGAAATATATTCCCAAAGTTCTCCAAAATCCCAGTGGCCTCCAGAGTTAAACCTGAAAACAATGTATCGCAAAATACTATATACACTAGTCTTGACGGCCATGTCATAAACTGTACAACTTTTAATTATTGGGAACTGCTTCCGTCATAGTCTCTCGACCAATGACCTCAATCTCTGTTGAATCACTCAGTCCTTTTGGAGCCTCGTGTAAATTATGAGTGCTCATGCATTTGATAAATATGTCAGTGCTGACTCCATGCCAGGCAGTGGACTGGGGTACAGAGTTACCAAGGGCAACGCCCCTAGCTTCAGGGAACCTGCCATTTACTTGGGGAGACATACAACAAACAATAAACAAATACATAAATTAAATAATGACATAGGATTTTGAGTACTATGAGAAAACCACAGTGTGCCAGAGGAGGGACAAAGGGGCCCATTCAGATGGGACAATCGGGGCAGACTCCTGTGCACACAGACACAACGGAGGCAGCTCTGCTCTTCACCTGACTGGCCTACCTTTAAGGTTTACATCTGGCCTGTGAATTTGGCCATGTTTTGGTTCTGTGTATATGGAATGGGTGTGAGTAAGGGAGCTAAGCATGATGCTAGACAGTAAAACGCCATGGACCCAGCACGTGAGCAGCAAGTGTCGAATCACTGAGTGTTGTTGTAAACACACACACACACACACACACACACACACACACACACGGCCATGGAAATGGTCAGAAAGGAGGCCCTACTGGTTCATCAGTCTCTGAACCCCCTGGCCTAGCACAGCACTGACAGGAAGGAGCGTGTCAGAACTGAAACTGAGGGGTAAGTGTCATCAGTGCCTGCTCTGTGGCTTATGGTCACTTGCTTTTTATTTTTTTTTCCCCTTTGCCCATGAAGCTGAAGTCCTCACCACTGAATGCTGAAACTTAACCTTCACCAGCTACTATGGATAACATTCACAGGTCACTATGGCGATGATCACTTTGGTTGTTTTTCAGGAAGTTGAGCCAACTCCTCTGTCCAGTTCCAACTGGTTGAGACCACTGACCTTTCAACTGGGCCTGTGCAAGTGTCCCAGAGGTGGCCTTTTGATGTTGGAAGGCCAAAAACTCCACCCTCAGGCCACGCTGACACCCCCATTTTCTGTGCCTATGTCCTGTGAAAGCTGTGAACTCCAACTACACTTGTTCAGAATGAACCTGTTACTTCCTTTTTCCCACCATCAACCACCTTCCCCCTCGACTTCAACCACCCCACTCCCCTAACCCCTAAACATCCCTAAGCCTTATCTTCAGGGAGGCAGATGTGAGGGCTGCTCGCCTGCCTCCTTGCTTGGCGGCCTTGCGAATAAATCTTTCTGTTTTGCAAAACCCATGTCACGGCGATTGATGGACTGCATGTGGGCAGAGCGGACCTGGGGCCAGCCTGTGACATAACCCTGGTGGTGGGTTAGAGGGTCCACACTCAACACGACATAGCCCTGAGTCACTGGGAGAGAGTGATTCCCTCTCCAGTTCCCACCCAGTCCTTTCAATTATAGTAAATTACATCGAAGGGAAAGTCTCCTCTTTGTGCTTCTGTGTGACAGAGCAGGAGCCCCCTCATCTTGGACAAACACTGTCACTTTAAGGTCCAGCTCCCCTTTCTAGCCCATGCATTTCAAGGAAATCATTTCTCTTCTAACTACAGGCTGCCAGAAAGAGCAGACAGGAACACACAGACAAAACAGCTCGGACACAGAGGGAGGAGAGAAGGAAGTCTCTTGGGTAACTGCCAAACTTCACCCTCATACAATGGGCCCCAGTAAAACAGTGGGCCTTAATAAGCACATTCCTTTCCCTTC